GTACGAGACGGGGTGGGAAAGTCACGTTCGTGTTACCTGCCGCTTAGAAATCTGCATTATCGTTATCAGACCATCGGTAAAAAAAAGATCATTAAGGAATATTTAAGGTGGTATTTATAGGCCCCAGCTAGGGATTACAGCAAGAAGTCTTTTTTACGACCTTAACAATTTTTTTTTTTTAAACGCTCAAATATCATTATCTGTTATTAAATCAAAGCTTTTAAATTTTTGGGTAGGCGTTTCGGGAATTGCTTTGGGTGCATACGGTAACGTATACTATTTTATTAAATATAAAATTATGTAATATATAACTATCTATATATCTTAATAATAATTTGGAATTTTTCTAGGTGCGCATAAGATTAAAAATTCTGACAAATTAAAGGTACATATGTGTGTATTACGTACATAGATTAATCTGTAACAAGTAAAAAATTTAACATTTTTTGTTGCTTTTTATGAAAAAAATTTTTTAATTTATTTTTAGAATTGGGAAGTAGCAACTTATTACCAATTAATCCACTCTATTGCACTTGTTTCCTTTTCAAACTTGAGAAACCCCGTTACAAACAAATCACCGACTTTGGCTGGTAGTCTAATCGCTGCGGGTACAATTCTATTTTCTGGTAGTATATATTTCTTAGTTTGGAATAATAAATCAAAATTAAAAGCTAGGATAGGCTTTATAACTCCCTTAGGTGGTATTTTAATGATGGCTGGTTGGGCTGCTTTATTATTTTAAATAATTTTAGCAATTAAATGTTATAATAATAATCATATAATTTGTTACGGTTAACTCCCTCTATAGCTGATAGTGAACTTTTTAGGTATAGCAATCTTTAAATCTCACGTGAGTTCTGTATGGAAAACATCATTGGTTCATTATAGAGTTGACGTATATTTTAGTATATTTTAAGAATATATTGTAACCCGAGATTATTTGATATTCAACCTTTTAATAATATATTTTTTTTGAAATCGAATTTTTAAATTTTTATATATTCGATTATAAGACCAAAGTATGAATCATTGCCGCTAGGTAATAAAGGATATGAGTTGGGTATGAGGAATGGCAGTATACGTAAACATGGTGGGAAGATACATTTTTAAAAAAATTAATACATAATGAATTTTGAGGCTATCTTAACGATTTAATTGTTAAAAGAAAGCTTACGATCTAAGCTCTCTTTTGAAAATATCAAATCATCAAGATAGCTTTAAAATTCATTGAGATACAAGCTGTATTAATTTTTTTTTTAAGTCAATCTGCTTTATTTCTATTGACGGCAGCCTGTCTATATACTTGTAACCTAGGGAAAGTGGCACGACAAAAAAGATTTGGCATGCCATTGCTAAAAGGCATGCCAAGATGCCACCCTGGCATGCCATTATGTCACATAATAGGTAATTTAGATATACTCTTTTCGGAATATTTCGGAATCTTGATATCAACTTTTCTCGTAATCTATATATTCTCAGAATATTTCAAAATAACATATTGATTATTTGAGCATTAGGCATGCCTATGGCATGCCACTATTGGCATGCCATGGTGGCATGCCCATGACCTCTGTGCCACTTTCCCTATTGTAACCACATCGTCGGTTCCAGCGTCATAAAATTATTTTCTGAATCAGGTTTTTCGCCATTTCCTCTCAATTTTTATTATTTCCTTTCTCTAAGTAATGCAAGATTATAAATCGTATGAATTGCATAATTAAATTATTAGGGATTTACAGTAAATAGTCTAAAATTTTCAATCGTTTACAGCAATCGTATTAACCGTTAATTCAACCGACATTAAAATTGTCCTGGCCCACGACCAACATAATTAGTTCCGGCACTATGAAAAAATTTTTATGATTCCAAATCCCTATAAATGTTTTACAAATCGCGATTAAAATACGTATAACTGAAATACATAAAAGCTTCAATATGTCATTCTTCAACTATTTTTACTTTCAGAGCGTTCTTGTTTAACCTATTTTACCGGTAAACAAAGGTTAATATTAATGAATTTTTTATTCAATAATAGATGAAGGTGCCAGTGTTTAACTATTTCTGGTTTTACCACAGAATCCCAAAATCCCGACACACAAAATCCGACATTCAATCCCGATAGAAAATCCGTCAAGTTAAATATTGGGTGTCGGGATTAGAGATGGGCAATGTAAGCGATATCGATATCTAAAATTTAGCCCTTACATATTTCATAAATTATTAAGTAATTTAAGGGCTATCGATTGCAAATAACTAAATATATCAAATACAAATAAAATATAAAATAGTTAAATAAAAAGATCGATTGTTTGAACGTTAATAACATACTTATATACAATGTCAAGTTGGGCTTTACAAAATTTGCAATTCAACTTTTGCTTGTAAACCTCCAGTTGGTTCTATTGGCTTAAAGGCAAAATGCATATTTTGCACATTTTGTAATCTTGATAAGCCTATATCCGGTTATGCCGCAGTAATAAGTTATATTACGTAGAAATGTACAAGCATTTCCTTTAAAAGTTCGAAATATATCTTATTAATGCTCAAAATTAAACAACAAAAACATTTACATGATACGAGGATTAGCAAGATAGATAATTCAAATCATCATGATCAAATTATTCAGCTAATTCTAATAAAGCAAGTCTTGAAAATACTGTATCGAATGTTAAATTAATGATATGGAAGATAATGTTAATAATTTGAAGAACAATTTAAAGAAAATGTAATGCAAACAATTAAAAACATCGATAAATTAATACTGTATAATGAAGCCATACTATTCAAGCTACGCATAGTATTCAAGGAAAAACTTTAGAAAACTGGTTAGCTTGGTTTATCATTAAATTAATCATTAATTGTATGCGATAAATTGCTAAAATTTAAATTCATTTATTTTTTTAAAAATATGTAAAAATATGTACCTTTTATATAGTACGGGACAGCAAAAAACATCCAACTTTTTTTTAAAGATGCCAAATTTGAGAATTTATAATGATTCTGATTGGCTAATTTTGTGTAACAAAAATTTGATTGGTTAAAATATATAAAAATGATTTTTTTTATATAATAAGCGCCAAATTTTGGTTTTTA